TTTGTTAATTTTTGAGGCAAACAGATCAATGTCTGGCTGTCCAAAAGCGTTTACAATTTTAGAAAATGCCTCGCGGTTTAATTCATATTCCGTGTTAATCCCCTTATCCCTTGAGAGAAAATCTGCCCGTACATTATCGTTTGTACTAATATACGAGGCAAAAATAAAAACATTTTTGGACTCGCACCAGTCCCAGATGTTTTTATTATATTTATGATTATTGGCCCTTAAAGCTCTTAATTTTAATATTTAAAATGGTTTAACGTGCAGCCAGCCATACCTAACGGCAGGAGAGATTGACACAAATTTACCTATTAAGGAAGCAATTTTTTTAATTTTGCACCTCTGAATATTTTTGAATTTTATTAATAAATACACTATTTGTTTTGTTTTATCGATCGGAATCCTAGAGTCATCTGTTTAGAATTAAATATAAAGCCCAGGAACTGTATTTTCTGAGATGGAACTAGCATACTTTTTGCTTTATTTATTGTAAAGCCTAGTGACACAAGTAAATCAGTAATCAACTGACGACAACGCTGACAACCCGCATAGCTGTCATTTAGAATTAATAAATCATCTAAATAGACTACTATTTTATAACACACCTTTCTGCCTTAATTGCCTAGTAACGGTCCGAAACAGCTTAGTAAATATTAAGGGAGCTATATTTAAGCCGAAGGGTAAGCAGTTAAATTCGTATAGTGTCCCCTGAAAACTAAATCTTAAATATTTCCTATAATTCTTGTGTACGGGTAAACGAAAAATACGCATCTTTTAAGTCCACTTTTGCCATAAAACAATTCCGGAATATTAGTTTTAAAGCATTCCGGTAACCCTCCATCTTAAAATTCTGATTACTAATAAACACTAGTACACTAGCTATAAGCTGCCCTGCGTCAACCAACTTCTCCATCATATCTGTATGATAAAAAAATTGATTTCAAATACTTAAGGCGACACCGTAGTCAAGGCAAGACTGAGCTCTGCCCGGGGCAACCGATCTCATTTTCCCACCGGTTCCCGCTCTTGACAACGAACCTTCTTGATAAAAATTTGTTTAGAATGCAATAATTTATTAAACGCCGCTAACACGGCCAAACTGACCTGTATTTCGCTCTCGAAATACCCTCTTTAAAAGTGTTCGCTTTTTTTCATATGATTATATGCTCATAATCATCATTACTTAAATAAATCAAATACACAATACAATAGCTCAAATAAAATAATTATTATGCTCCTTCGGATAATCAGAATCCGCCTGGCAAAAACAATTATCACGCTCCTTCAGATAATCAGAATCCGCCTAACAAAATCAAAATAACTGTCATGCTCTTTCGGATAATCAGAATCCGCCTGGCAAAATCAAAATAACTCAAATAAAATAATTATCATGCTCCTTCGGATAATCAGAATCCGCCTGGCAAAATAAAAATAACTATCATGCTCTTTCGGATAATCAGAATCCGCCTGGCAAAATCAAAATATCTATCATGCTCTTTCGGATAATCAGAATCCGCCTGGCAAAATCAAAATAACTATCATGCTCTTTCGGATAATCAGAATCCGCCTGGCAAAATTAAAATAACTCAAATAAAATAATTATCATGCTCCTTCGGATAATCAGAATCCGCCTGGCAAAAATAATTATCATGCTCTTTCGGATAATCAGAATCCGCCTGGCAAAGTAAAAATAACTATCATGCTCTTTCGGATAATCAGAATCCGCCTGGCAAAATAAAAATAACTATCATGGTCTTTCGGATAATCAGAATCCGCCTGGCAAAATCAAAATAACTATCATGCTCTTTCGGATAATCAGAATCCGCCTGGCAAAATAAAAATAACTATCACGCTCTTTCGGATAATCAGAATCCGCCTGGCAAAATCAAAATATCTATCATGCTCTTTCGGATAATCAGAATCCGCCTGGCAAAATAAAAATAACTATCATGCTCTTTCGGATAATCAGAATCCGCCTGGCAAAATTAAAATAACTCAAATAAAATAATTATCATGCTCCTTCGGATAATCAGAATCCGCCTGGCAAAAATAATTATCATGCTCTTTCGGATAATCAGAATCCGCCTGGCAAAATTAAAATAACTCAAATAAAATAATTATCATGCTCCTTCGGATAATCAGAATCCGCCTGGCAAAATAAAAATAACTATCATGCTCTTTCGGATAATCAGAATCCGCCTGGCAAAATTAAAATAACTCAAATAAAATATTTATCATGCTCCTTCGGATAATCAGAATCCGCCTGGCAAAATAAAAATAACAAAACATAAAATAATTAAAAAAAAACGCTAACACTGCGCCATCCCTTAACCTACCGCCACTTTCATCCGAATCTAACATATTATCCGACCATTCGCCTGCCCATTACGGTCTTTTGGAACTACTAATGGACCACGTTTGAATTTTCGGTTTTTCACTCTGTATCTGTGACCTGTTTTTTTTATAAGGCCCTCTAAACTACGGCTCTAGCTTGGCTGCTTTTGCGTTGGTTTTAGGAATAATCGTTCAATTCAAAAAGCAAATTGTTTGTCTTTTTTTTTCAATTTTTTTTTTATATCGAGCTTGTCCATCCTGACACTTTGTTGACCTCAACGACCTCGACCGCTCAAAAATATTGGTAATTCGATTTTTTTTTAAATACTCAAAATTTCCAAGGCAATGTCAATACCAAAGCCCTGTCCAACAAAACAATTACACGACCAAACACTATATCGTGCTTTTAATAATCCTACGGAACAACATGAAACATAATCTTCAATTGATGATCATTTATTTTAACTTCAGTTAACATATGCAAACAATAACCAAAGTTTACAGAATTCAAACAGTCATATTTTACAGAAATTCTGTAAATCTTAATACCATTCACAAATGCCTTTCAAAAGAATTTTAAAATTTTGCAAATTCCCTAAATCATTGCTTTCGTCATTGCTTGAAAATCCCCTAGAATTCTCTAACTTACGAGTATAACAATCTCCGAATAATTAGCGCCATATTATCAATAACATCAATAGTTAGAACAGTTTGCCTTCGTTAGAACCCTTGTTTATTTCAAATATTCAGTCAATAATTTTTATTATTAATGAATCAATAAACTCTCAACTAACAATAATCAATTTAAAAATAATATTATTAATAAAAATACTGTTTCAAAAATCATTATCATATTTATCACAACTCATACTCCACCAGCCAGCCATTCGAACACGATGAAATATTTCCCTTTATCTAGACGATCCAACAGATCATCAATCAAAAGTAATGGGTACCGTTGTTTTATTGTGTTTTTATTATAGCCCTGACATCGCAACAAAGCCTATCACTACCTTTTTTTTTAAGAATTACTGGACTAGCAAAACTTGATTTATTTTCTTGAATAATATTATTTTTCGTAAGGTCTCGTATGATAAAACAAAAAAATCTTTCTCTCTCTGAAAGTGAAAGTCAATAGGTTTGTTTTCACATGCAGTCAGAAACATGTTTCTGATAGTTTTCAAACCACTTATACTGCGCATGTCATGGAGACAACAAATCCATAACAAGTTTGTGATTTTTGTGGAAACACTGGACTAGAACGTATTACTGGTTGCATAGGCATTCTTCTTCTTTTCATTTATAAAACTAACCTTACTTATTATTTAAATTTTCGTCTTTTGCTTTTGTTTTTTTGTGTTTATTTTTCTTACACAAAATGGATAAAAACAGTAAGTTTATTATAGAAACATCTTTTATATAAAATGATTTATTAACATATTACATTATTTTTTAAGGTAACGTACCTCAAGAATTAAATGAATTTATTATTATTAACGTTGAGTCTGACGATTCATCTGTTTCAAAACAATCAGACTTATGGACCTGGACAACTAAAAATACAAAAGAATGATTGATATTTATGCTGAACTAAAGCCGAAGTTAGGTACTCATGCAATAAAAAATATGAAAAGATTGTGGGAACTTATAGCTGAAAAAATGAATGGGCCAGTTACACCAGCTCAGTGTGAAAATAAGTGGAGAGTATTAGAAAGAGCTTACAAAAAATATATAGATAATCAAAAAAGTACTGGTCGTGCTAGAAAGTTTTTTGAATATGCAGAAGAGATGGACTTGATATTTAAGGGGAAAAAAATGTGCAGCCTATTTTATTACTCTCTGACACCACAAAAGATGATCTTTCAAATTTAGTAGAGGATGATTTAGACAGTTTTTGTGAAACTAATGTAGTTAAACCATCATCTTCTATACAAGCTGAACCTGAAGTAAAACAAAAAGAAACACTTTCTCCAATCAAGCACAATCGGGCTAGGCAAAGAAGCAATCCCGTGTTAAATAGGAATATTACTTTGGAGAAAATGAGACAGGATAGAAAAGAATATTACAATGCACGCATTCTACAAGAAGGCGAAAAGATAAATCTCTTGAAAGAAAGAAATGCTTTGCTATCAGAAAAAAATCAAATGTTGAAGAAGGCAAATGTCTAGAACATAAAACTGAGTTTAATGTACCTGTGTAGGTAATACCATGGTACAAAAAAAAACAAGGTATGATTGATAGAAGCAATTACGTCATGCGCTGACCATGTTTCCATAAAAACGATTGGTTTTTAACCAATCAAATAACAGAACGAGAGGAAGTTTCTATGGAAATGTGGTCACCACATGACATTATTGCTTCTATCAATCATACCTTGTTTTTTTTTGTACCACGAGGTAATACCAGTTTGTTGTTATTTGTTACTTTAATTATTGTAATACCTATACTTACATACTTATAGACTTTTTTTGTTTTGTATGTTTTATAATAAAAATTGTTAAAACAAACAGTTAAAAATAACCTTTATTTCAAAAACGTGTAAAAATATGTAATAATAACAAAATAATAATGATTATTATATTATTGCAAATAATAATCTAAGTAAGAATACATTGTGTAGGTTGCACAGGCTTCGAAAAGGCAATTTTTCTTTTCAAACTGATTTTGGCTAAGCGAAAATTTAAATTTACCCGCATTTTCTTATATCTCCTAAAATACTCCTGGGTGGTTTAATAATATAGAAAGACCCTGTACTAGGCCTATCACTTGAATTATTCTAAAGTATTTACAATCATGTTTCTTTTTTGTACAGCATCCTGATTTGCGTGTTCTGCAGCATCTTGGATATCAAATAAATTTACATTATTTTCATTTGCTTCTAAATTATTATCACCTTCTATGTACAGAAAATTATCATTCAGTCCTAAGTTATGAAGTACACAACATGCCCTAATAAAATGAACTATTGTACGTATATCTCTTAACTTAATATGATATAATTGGCGCCATTTTTGTTTTAATAAGCCATTGCAGTGTTCGATACAAATCCTATTGGACGAGTGTTGGACATTATAGTTAATTTGGTTTCTAGTTAACATTCCCCTGTCTGGAAAAGGAGTCATAAGATTGTACATTAAAGGATAGGCACTGTCTCCTAAAATATGGAATTCATTACACTTCTCTTGGAGTGAATTAAATAGGTCTGATGTTCTGAAAACACGTGCATCGTGTACCGAACCTGGATATCCAACAAATAAATTTGTTATTTTTAATTGATGGTCACAGACAAGTTGTGCCTAAAAAAAACTGAATGTACTTTTATAAATTAAGTCTATCTAATAATTTTAATATGCTTACCTGTATTGAGTAATACCCTTTCCTATTTATATAAGAGTCTGGATCCTCCAGAGGCTTGTCTATTCTGATGTGGGTTCCATCTATAGCTCCTATAATTCCTGGATACCCATTTTTTTGGCGAAAATATCTTTCAATATCAGCTTGCCTTTCATTGTTAGGCCATATTATTATTTCAGGCGCTAAATTGCTTAGAAAATATGTCATTCGTTTTACTACTTTATGTAGGGAACTTATGCATATATTAAATCTATCTGCCACATCACGGAAGCTGGCACTTTGATGCCCCGCAAACCATAGAAAAATGTGTGTCTGCTTCAATGAGGTAAGTTTTTCATGTGGTCCCAATTGCCACTTATAATATTCACTATTTTCAAAGCGAACAGCGATGTCGGCAGCAACATCTTTACTTACACGGAAGTGTTCTATGTGTTCTTTATCATTAAACTGTGGTACAATCTGTTCAAAGAAAGTTTGATTTTTAGGCCGAATTCTTTCTTCTAACATAATTTCCAGATCTGAATCTGTTTCAGACATTTGGGAGAATTCAGATGCATCGGATGAAGAAAAACCAGACATTTTTCACTATAACAAAATTAGTGCATTAGTGCGCATAAATAACAATATTTAATATATTTACATTAAATTACCTACCACAAATCACAATAATTGTTTCTTTGAATTGTTTTTTGTTTTAACCTCAAACACAAAGAAAGATTTCAAAACAAGCTTGACTACGCGATTATAGGTACAGTGATTGTCAAAATATAGCGAATTGCGCATGCTCCAACTCTTTACTTGGAGATAATCCGCAAACTCTTCTTGCTGCTAGCAAACTGTCACGAATTGATGTGTGAACAACCGATTCTTAGTTTGATAACAGCTAGAAAGTGATATGTGAACGCAAAAAAAGGTATTGCGCAGAATCTAAACATCAGAAACAAGTTTCAAACTGATGTGAAAACAAACCTAATATGAATTAGAGATGTTCGACACGACACCTTGAAGCATCGATACTTTGGCCGGTGCTTTGGCATTCGACACATCGACGTCTCGACACTTCCGCTCACGATCCGCATCGATACCAAACATCGATACTCCTAGAGCATCGGAACATCTCTAATATGGATGATAATTTACCACGGCTGACTAATTTTCTAAATCAATTGATAATTCAACTGTTTTTATACAATGAACAACGTTTCCTGTCGTAATCATATCTTCATATTTTTTTACACAGTTCGTAAAGTTTTAAACGGTCGCGTCGGCTTCTTTCAGAGGCCCTGTTATCAAATTACTTAACTGTGGAGTGTTAGACAAAACATAAACACTGGGAGTTTCGAAGGTTTTTCGCGCGAATCGAGTTCCAGTGGCGTCGGTTATAATTTCTATGTCGTCAAATTGCACAACATTTTTACCAATAATAGCATCATACTCCAAATCGTCATTATTTACTATGAAAAACATTAATTCAATTGAAGTATGCTTAAACTCTACAGTTACCACCCTTTTGCAACCCTGATGATAAAGTTATTGATTCACTTGGAGTTTTTTTTTAAATTACTATTTTTTTTCAGTGCCTCCATTTTAACAGAAATTTTGCGAATATATCCAATTACAAACTCAACTAACTCCTGATTAGAAAATTTAATTTTGATACCTTTTATAAACAGCAACTTCTCCCTTGCATACTTACAATACAAAGCATATGAATCACTAGTTAGATTAACCGGTTTTTTTTAGATTTCTTTTGGTGGAAACAGTTCCTTAATTGCTGAATTAAAAGTATTCAAATCCCGTTGTTCGGGGTCCCGATTTTCAAACCAATGGGTCTCCTGACCAATGAGCCATCCCAAACCAATGAGCGTCTCCACTTAAAACTTTTTGCACGTGCCACTAACTCACGCTCCTGCCATTTAAAGTCCTGTTCAAATTGTTCGATTTCACTACACATCAATAGCGCCAGAATCCGCACGTGTTGTTTAAAAAAAAATGAAAATGCCACATTTTCATTTGCACGCCCCTGCGTCGCGGCGCCTAGGAACCCTTGAGATTAACGGAAAAATATTTCGCATTAACTCCGCGCGTCGCTGATATATTCTTTGATTGTGCCGACGCCGACATGTTATTAGTCTGTGGTTGTACCGACGCCCACGCTTCATTATTCAGTGGTTGTGGGCGAATCCCACTTCTGATGATAAAAAAATTGATTTCAAATACTTTAGGCGACACCGTAGTCAAGGCAAGACTGAGCTCTGCCCGGGGCAACCGATCTCATTTTCCCACCAGTTCCCGCTCTTGACAACGAACCTTCTTGATAAAAATTTGTTTAGAATGCAATCATTTATTAAACGCCGCTAACATGTAGTTAGGATAACTTTTTCTTCAGGGGGGCTTGCAAGCTTTTTAGTTAAAACTATACCCAAAGCTGACAAGGTAGACCCTAGCTGTTCCTGCAGTCCCGATAAAAATGTATCGTTCCGTAGCAAACTTTGCGCCATGATTGTGTGTGTGTGTGTGTGTGTGATTTTACCTCCTCATTCATTAAGGGAAAATCCAGACAGCGGCAATTAGCTGGCGGCGGATATTTTTGTACAAGTTCCTTCCGCAAATCCGCCGAAAGTCCCTCTTTAGTATAAGTAGCCCAACGAACACATAATTCTTCGTGGATGTCAGGACCAACAGCGTTTGAAGTAGACGGATTTTCTCCCAACAAAAGGGCAAAATCGTTCTGAGGAGCAGCAGGAGTTGGAATGATATCGTTTCGAATATTGCGCTGCGCCGCTGGCACCCCCCTCTGTTCCTCGCCGGAGCTGGAGGATGACGAAGACTTTGAAGGAAACAAAAAACCCCATGTTATTCTTCCTAGCCTTCCGAGAGCTTTTGGGTAATATAATAATAATATTATTATTCTTGAGAGCTATAGTATCTACTGCAATGAACTGTAAACAACGGTTTTCGGGTATAAAAATCTGCCAAAGGACAGTAACCCAAGCAGCATAAAAAATAAAACAAATTTGTGCAGGTAAATTTAGTCAAAACAACTAGGTATACCCCGCAAAAACACATAAAATATAACCTATATTTACAGACAACGGCCTGTGGGTTAATGTAGTTAAGATGCACTACACCCTCTCAAATAATCCGTGTTTATTTTAGCAATATTTTTTCTAAAACAACAGAAAAACGGTTTGTGTAACTAATAATATGTTTACCTGTCGATCTTGACTCACTAGAACTTGATCTCATCCTTTCCAAACGTCCTAGTGTACGTTCCAGCATAGATTTTAGGCTTCTTAAATCCACTTTATATTTATTAGCCTTCTTTTCTTTCGGCATCTTGCAATATTTTCCAAAACGTAAACACTATTCACTTTTTGCTGAGCATCAACTGTACGTGACGGCACATAAAAATGAACTGAATACTCTGAATGCTCCCACTCATACTGCCCGCATAGTAACAGATTACTTTCGACAAAATAACATCCAAGTTTTACCATGGCCTTCGAAGATCCCCGACGTCAATCCCATGGAAAATGTCTGGGGAGAAATTACCAAGTTCATGTATAAACATGACTTTCATCCAAGAAATGAAGAAGATCTGCGCCAGGGGATAAACGCAGCATGGGATAATATAACCCAAGAGTATACAAGAAGCTTAGTCTTAAGTATGCCGCGTCGGTTACAAAAAGTAATTGAAAACAACGGCAACAGACTAAATATTAAACAGCTGCTTTTAAGTATATATTATTTTAGGTTAACGGCCGTTTGCACCGTAGCGACAAAAACTCGGCTTTATAGTTAAGCCAAGCTTATTACAAAAATTGCATTGCGCCGTCTGTATATTTTCTATAAACCGGGCTTAAGCTGAGTTTCTGCTTTTTAGAGTTAGAAACACACAACATAAACACCTGTGTAACACTTTGAATTATTAATATTCGTTTAATATATACTAATACCTATTTTTTAAAACAAAAACTAAACTAAAAAATGGACGAATTGTGTACGTGAAATGCTTCTTGAGGACGACGCCGATATTTTAGAAATCATTTAATTTGGATTTCCTCGAAAATATATATAAGATCTAATTACTATAATGATATGGATCAATTAACATTTTACCAGCGATTTCGATTGAGAAAACCTACAGTCTTGGAAGTTTTAAATCGAATAGAGGGACAATTAATGGATAGTCACTTGTAAGTAAAAAAATGTCTGTTAGAATTTACTTGAGAATTTATACCTATTTTACCTTTTTCATCATACTGATCACACCTCAAATTTCTTCAAGGAATGCCTGTGTAAGTCCTATGAATCAATTACTGACCACATTACGATATTATGCTACAAATGGGCATTTGTCAATGCTTGCTTATGGCATATATCAACTACTTGCAGAATTATAAAAAGTGTAAGTGCCATAATAGCAAGTCTGTGCGGGGAATACATACACATGCCTGATCAAAATGCTCTATTACACACAAAACAGTTTTTACCATATTGCAGCATTATCTTGTACAAAAGGCATCAACTATTTTTCCCTCTGAAGGATTTTCAAATGAAAATCATGAGAAGAAGGACCTCTGGATAAATTTACGTTTGAACCTTGCTTAGAGGAAAAGTTACAAACAACGAAATGTATCCAGATATTTGTGACAGATATTCGAATATGTCTTTACCTTCCTTCTTTGAAAAAGAAGGGGAGGGAGGGGGTGATACATGAGGCACGAGCGGCCAATTCATTAGGTACCCTCCAGTTTGCTGCCTTGCCAGCCTCCTACCATAAAATAGGCGACAACCAACTTAACGTTGACTTCCAAGTTATTTTTCTCTATTTTGGCTAAAGAAATTTCTCTATTTTGGCTAAAGAAATTGCTCTATTTTGGCTAAAGAAATTGCTCTATTTTGGCTAAAGCTATTCTAATAGAAATGTAAGTTTTATTCTAAATCTTAAGAAACACGTAACTGTGTCTCATTTCAAAAGGAAGTTCTTATGGTAAAGGCTGTTAAATTCTAATTTGTTTATGTAAATCTTTGACTTTCATATGTTGGAATACCAACCATTTACATTTAGAGTTTATATTTACCCATTTCGGTATATAAAAGCAGTGTTGTGCTTTTGGCCAATACTTTATACATTTTGACAAAGTGACAGACTTTGTGCGAATTATCGAAACAAAAAGTTAGTTTTTTCTTACAGTATATAATATATATTTTCTCCTCTATAATACACTTTCGAAAGAGATGATTATAATAACATTAATGTAAACTTTCACAGACTTTGAATTTTTTCTTAAATATCTCTGGATGGTTTCTCATTGAAAGAGGCTTTTGTAAGATATGATGTGTCTAAGGTTTACTGCATTAAAATTTTACCATAAATGTTCCCTAACAGTTCTACTTTCTTATCTAGAAATTCCAGAAAGAATAGACATATCAATTAAATCATAAAGTGGAAATAGTTTTCTTGCAGTTTTACGTATATAAATAGATTATATCATTCTTGCCGTGAACTGCTATGAAAAATAATAAATCATATATTGGTTTCACGTATAACCTTAGTTATCAGAGACAGATGTCAGTTTGTTTTTAGTCAGTATATAATTATATATTCATATCATAGTTACTGAAAATTATCAAAAAAAAATAAATAATACAAATAATAATAAAACTTCTGGTATAAAATTGACACAGATCAATATCTGTGTCTACTTTATATCAATGTCCACAATATCCATACCAATGTTTGGATCGAAATCTAATCTACATATATGATGACTCTGGTTTAATTCATCGACGTAATTAAAGCATTTTGGAAAATAAATTATTGAGAATCTTAATTTCTTACTACCAAAGTCTAACATTCAAATGTTGATCTAATATTAATGGCTTAAAAAGTAAGGCCTTTTAAATATTAAGCAATGGGTTAGAAACACCTTAAAAAATATATATCGGTTAAACCTCACTATAGTCGAGTTATCCACGCAGTTCTACATTGAGACAGGGATTTCTATCGACACGACGAGTTAACTGGTTTATAAAGTATAATTGAACAATTTTGGCAGAATCCTTTATGGAAGTGTCATCTTATGGGTTTCTGTCTCTGCTTAGTATGCATATATGTATATGTTAAATTGTATATGTTTCATTTTGGTTACATTCAATAAACATATTTATAATTTCAGCTATTTTTGTCTCAAAAAAAATGCTTTCTACACCGCATTCATTAATTTGCAACCATCAGTTCTTTAAACATCTACGTATAGAAAAATCAAGATAATACATTCGGACTGGACGCGAATATAATTATACGATCAAACGAACTTACCTGAAGTGAAGTTCGATCGTAATTATGAGGCGTCCAGTCCGAATGTATTATCTTCCCACCCTTCCCGTTTTGCCCCATGGTCGCTTGAATTAATGAATAAATCTTTGAAAAATGAATACCGACCGCCGCGCCACACATTGGTTCTTTTTGACAATTTGAACATGCAAAATGTGCAAATTTTACATCACACAATTGAATTAAAATGTTTTTTTTTCAAATAAAAAAAACCAGATACCCAACCAACTCAAGATACATTATATCAAAGTATGCCTTGAACGATTTTATAAACAAATGAACTGACAAGTCAAGATATGTTTTCGTGGACGAGTTC